TGCTGTGAACCCATGGCAAGAGTGATGCTAGCATAAATGCTAACACCATTCTGATTCGAGCCTGAATATTTTGCAACCCTAAATTTTCGATGTTTGACCCTCCATCTACCTGAGACAAAAAAAAATTAATAATAATCAATATTCTCACATACAACAGCACAACTGATACAGGCAAATGTGAAATTCCTTTTTTAACCTTGTAGCGAGGTCGTTTTCCTGTAAGTGTCTGAAATAAAGAGAGCAAGGCAGAAATCACTCCATCTATTGACACATCGAGATGCCACGACCCGACTTCTTCGGCAAGAATTTTTGCCCTATTTCTTGTAGCATCGGAACTATAAGAGAGAATAACTGTCACAATTCCGCGATTAAAAAAAAATACTTTTAACTAAAAATAATGTAACAATTAGTGAGACCCGTTCTTTTTATATCTTAGATATTTTTTTCATAAGAATTATTTCATATTAGTTCAAAAATATATTCTGACCTATTTTCGGTGCCCATGTAAACTGTGTAGAATATTCGTTTGGCGAATTCTTTACTGTCGGTTGGAAACTGTCCATCGGTATAGTGGCCGATTCTTATCGCATCAGCTTTGACTTGTTCATCCCCATTTGCTACTTCTGTAGTAGTAGTAGCAGTTGCATAAAAAATCACAATGTTACTGTATGAAGGGGTGATAATCGGACGGACCGAATCGGAATTAGTACTTTCGGAAAAATTCCGATTTCTTTTCCGGATTGGAATGAAAAAATCGTTCCCAAATCAGAAATTTTCTGATCAGAATCGACGGAGTTTGGAAAATTCCGTTCTTTTTATTAACCTAAGACATAAAATGCATACTAATATTTATATTATAAGTGTAATTCCCGAAAAATTCGGAATTATTTTTTGAAATTAAAATTGGATCGGAAATCGGAATCTCATATATATTCCAATTCCAATCCAAACAATTTCAGAAAAAAATCGGAATTGGAATATTCGTAATTCGGAATGAGAAATATTGTTCCGAAATTGGATTCGGCGGAAACCGTAAATTCCATTCCAATTTCGACCCCCTCGTGGCTATACGAATCAATTTAAAATTTTCACTGAGTACTACACAAAATATTAAAATAATAATAAACAGAAACGGACCTTTTACTACTAGCTGGCACATGCAACCAACTATGGCAGCGACAGATGAGCTATCTGCTCCACCAGAGAGCGGAAGTAAAAAACCAGATGCACCACTTCTTCTTAAATAATCCCACAACCAGCAGCCCGGCCCGAAAGCTATTTCCTCTTCAGGAGAATGATATTGAATCTGAGACGAAACCAAAAAAATTAATTCTGCTATATATGAAACTAAAATTAGTAGGGTGAAAATTGGAACGGAATTTACGATTTCCATCTGGAGTTTTCCGATTTGGAACAATATTTTTCATTCCGAAATTCAAAATTCCTATTTCCGATTTTTTCGAAATTATTTGGATCAGAATTGGAATATATATGAGATTCCGATTTCCGATCCGATTTTATGTTCCGAAAATGATTCCAAAATTTCCGATTTTTTTTCCAAATATTACATTTAAAATGTCAATATTATTGGGTATTTTATACTTTACGTGACAAAAAATTGGAAATTTCCGAATTCCGGCGATTCTGATCCAAAATTTTCCGATTTTTTTTGGAACGGAATTGGAATTAGTTTTTCACTTGCAAAAAAAATCGGATTTTTTTCCCGGAAGGGCTAAAATTCCAATCCGATCCGTCCAATTTACACCCCTAATTACGAGGCTCCATTTGAACAATTCAAAAGAAAAAAAGGTTTAGTAAGGAATAAGAGGAATACATGCATTGGCATTTCCTTTTTATGAAATTCTTTTTGAATACCAAACATTATTCGTCTCACCTTAAGTGGACTCGATAGCAACATTTGGAGCTTAAAAGACTCGCAAAGCTTGTAAGGTACTGAAACTGCGGGAACTTTTGGTTTGCAACTGGCTTGTTCTTGAAAGCTACTAATAGATCCTCTAAGACTAGCGACCTGCAATTCGATAAGTCGTAAAACGAAATGCAACCTATGACGTTTATGATTTAAAATTTATTATTAAAAAAAAAATTAAATGGGATAGAACGAACCGCATCTAGGTCAACTTGAGCAACCACCATTTCGACATCCTTTAACGAGAACTGTGACCCTTGGGCAACCACATCTCCATTGACAACAACACAAGCGCATCCATCTTCGTATAGAAAAATTATCAAACAAGACATCCTCAAAATCTTATATAATAGCGTTACAAAAAATAAAAAAAAACTAATAAAATATTAAATAAATCGGATATTATTCTACGCACCATAATAAAGGCGTCCACCGTCACATCCTTGGTGATTACTGTACATGTAAACTCCTCCACGGGTATGTGTAGCGCCTA